TTAGAAAGCCATTTTAACTTAGAATAGGATTTACGAATTTTATCGATTGCTGCGTCTACTGTTGGTTTAAACGACATTTTATCTGAGGCGAGAATAATTGTATCTTTTAGTCCAAGCATTGATCTACTCCTCTGCAGAAGAAAAGTATGACAGAGATCGCCGTTTTCTATTTGATTTGATTAATTTGGGAGTGACTGCAGCTATGACAGGTTTAGCTGGACGAAATGCTTTGAAGATTGCTCAAATTGAAGCTAGAATGGATTATTTTGTATTGGTATTGGGAGAATGTCAAAAACAGGTAAGATTGTTTTACATATATTATTATTTTACATTTTTAAATACCTTTCCTTCCTTCCTTTTTCACGTAAATATATTCGACCTCCTTCGTTAGGTTCAAGTCACCTCGGCTACTGCTGCGTTCTTAGAAAATGGAATGATGAAATTGACAGAAGAACTGAATGGTACACAAGGACTATTGAATGATACAATACATGTTCTCGAAGATACGAGATTAAACGTGCGGCATATTAACGCATCAGTTGATAAATTGAGTATTGAATTTGGAGATTTTAAACAAGATGCAACAGAGACCCTTTTATATCTTTCTGTTAATGAAATATTGAATAACAAACTAAATTTGTTATTTATTCGTCAGCAAGAAATCTCGAAAGTAGTGCAACAGATCTTTCGAGAGTCAAACATATCGTACAACTCTCTTTTTGAGGAACAATCAAGTCTTCAAGCTATAACAGAATTACTTTATCTCCAACACATTACATTTGTCTCAACGAACATGTATAATGCTGTTAATAAAGAAGTTGGCCGACTAATATTCACCACTGTCGTTGCTTTACCAAATATTGAGAACGACAAGTTTTCCCGTGTTCCAGCTGCCATGCATGCTTACCATCATTATCATTATATACGAATGATTAACATGCCATTATACATTGTACAAAATTCACAAAATAATGATACTATCGAATGGTATGCTCCTGATGTACCTTACTGTAAATTTGGATCATATACGAAATGTAAAGATACACCGGCATTTGGTAAATATTTTACAAATGGATGTTTACGTCAATTGTTAGCTGGTGATTCTCAATTAAAAACTGGTACTTATGAACATGTTAACGATGCTGATCATTTTACATTACAACTGAGCAGTAGTTTTTGGGTGGTCTTATCGAACAGAACATTAGATTGCACTCTCGGTCGGTACCTCAAACAGTAGTCTCGTTATACCTCAAAATGATACGTTAACACAGCCGGATATTGATGTGTTTAACATTCAGAAATATATTAATGGCTCAGATTTCATAAAACTGCGATTTATTAAATGTTAGATAACACTTTATTGTTAGCCACCATTTCTAATTTTTGATATAAAAGTAACATATATATAATCCCTCAGATATAATAGATATACACTGGACGCAATTGTGATAACCTATTAATCGAGCTCTATCTGGCACACTCATTCGCAGAGATGGCACAGCTTTAATAAGAAATGTTAGGCGAAAATACAAAATTTTGACTTTTTATGTCGTTGAAAGCATAAGTATTTTGTATTTTAAAACTCAAGGAATCAGTACTTTTGAAAACAAATTTTGGCATTTGATAGAGCTCGTCGAGTTCTATTTGGCACACTCATTCGCAGAGATGGCACAGTTTTGACAAAAACGTTAGGCTAAAATATAGAAATCTGCTGCTAACTTCTCTTACGTCGTAAAAAAGCAGTTTTAATTTTAAACGATTATCGTTATACACAAGATCGGGTAAGAAATAATAACGTATATATAATATAGCCTTGAAAAAAATTTATACAAAGCAAAATAGTTTACCGCCACGTAAGAAATTATATGTTAATCGTGATCATCGTTTATATAATTTAGAAGATAGCTATAAACAAAATAGTATAAATTTAAATGACTTTTTGTGTAAGGTATCAAAAAGAATAGGTGTTAAAAAGTTTTGATCTTTTTAGCAAATGTTTTACAAGACTATACTGTATGCATAATCATTTTGAAATAAAAACTTTATAATATTTGAGTTGATCTTTTCTATTGAATTTTATCAACTGTTTTCAAATTTAAAATTCTAGTATACATTTTAATAATTGCAACTATAATTCCATATTTTAGAACGGATAAAAAAAAGTGTCGACGAAACAAGAATCAAGCATATGAAAAGTATGACCTTTTGCCAGGCTCAGAGATACAGGGTCATTTGTATATCAAAAAGCTTAGAACTAATTTTATATTAACTTAGCATAAAATTTGAAATAGGGAAATTCAGAAAAAAATAAT